GTGAAGGTGGTAGATGATAAAAGAAACCTATCGAAGAAATACAGACAACTTATGAACAAATCGGTTGTATGCAATTCTATCTTATAATATTAAGAGCCTGGCTATGCTAAAAACATCGTTACTAATTCAAACCCACATCAGTAGGCTTTTAACATCCCGAACAACGGTGTAATGGGGATTACAATGATTTGGTTATCCCGAATGATTTTGTGGTAAGAAGGTGGGTCTTGGGTTTTACCAATTGAGTGGTTGACAAATTTCGTCACGTTGACCAGGCGGCCGCTTAAAACCAAGTGTATCAAGTACACTGTAGAGTTGAAGGGCTGATAAACTTTGAACATAGACGTTTCTTCACTGTTCTTCAAGAGAAGAAAAGATTGGTCACCATGTACCAAAGATACAAAACAGGCAATGAAACAAAAAGTGGTTTGCCGTATGTTTTAAAATTTCACATGTGCTTAGTTTTCTGAACAATCGTGGTCAAACGAGACGTTATCTTATTTGGTCTCACTCCCAAACAAGACTAGTGAAACCTGCTCCTTGGAGTTCACCTTGCCTGGGGCTCCCACACAGCACTTGTTATGATGTAATCGTATATATTCTGATCAGTCTTCTTTTGACTTATTGACAGCATGTTTAGGGACGAGATCTTACCGATTTAACTGAAAATGTGTTTGAAACCCAGGCAGGACACAAAGCCCATGAGATAGTTTCATTTGTCATTTTCAGCTATCGTTTGCATGCCTGCAGGGGACACATCAGACAGCGCAATCACGGTACGGTCCATAAGTATTTAATCTTGAAATTTAGTGTGAGCAGCTGTGTTGCTGTTCTTTAGACATATAGAGTAAATTGGAAATTTGCAATAGAAGTTCGGAGATTTAAATTGTCTCAAACTGGAAACCACCTACACCTGATCACAGTCTTTGCATTCAGACAAGATGTTCGGTCAGCCCTTTTTGAAAGGAAGTATTAAAGTCGAGTTTCGCTCTCATTAAAGCCCATCAATAGTGCATATCTTCGTCCGGACCGGAATTTGCACTCCCGCCCCCATGCTCATGAGATTAGCATGTTAACCATAACGCCAGTAGATCTCACAATACGCATAACCGAATGATCATACCCAAACACACCCACAACCGTGTGTGAATACTGTTCACCTTGCCCGAACATTTTGAAAAGAAAATAAACAGAAGCACTTTGTTGAATCTTGTCGATAACCCCGTGATTGACGCTTTCTTCAAAGTGAGTTAGTGGAAGGACTTATCTGAATGCGAAGGTTGCGATCAATTGAGGGAAGTGTCCAATTTGAAAATAGGAATTGTTCAGCAAAATGATAAAAACGGAGTCAAGTGTACATCTGCTTAGATGAAAATTTGTTTAGTTTCCAGGCCCACTAATCATGACATTAAGCGCTATGTGTATAGCATCGGAAAACCGTCAGACGAGCTGTTTTAATAAATCAGACAAGAAAAGAACTCAGTTTAGTGTAGTTTACACACATGAACTTTAGTGGTTACTCATTAGTCGCAAGAGCACTGCCTATAATGACAGCATTTTTATTATTTTCTTAAATGATTGGGGTTTTTTTTTAAATCAATCCTTTCGCTGTCTTCGAACTAGCCACGGGAATTGCAACTAAACGAGCCCTCCATACTAGGTCGTGCTTTCGCCACTACAAATCAAAGTTCAGCACATTTTAGAAAATCTGATACAATAGAGAATATCGCTTTTGATGGTCACTAATTTATGGGTGAATCCCACTACTCTCTAGGGTAGAACGAGCTGTTTTCCTACGAAAACATCATGGAAAATAAATGAAAAATACTTTGTAGTGAACAAGCTCGTTTTGAGTTATTCATCATCAGGCTAAATACATCATACTTATACCACACATTTTACATGGGAATCATGAAGGGGGTAAACAGGAAACGGATAGTTAATGAGGTCAGTCAATCCAATGTCACACTGCGCATGAAAATAAATGACCCCATTTTCAGCTGGAATGGTGTAACTGAGACTTTTCAACCCGTCTGCTTCTGTAGAATCGTATCCAAATGAATGTCTGATGTCTACTACTACCAGATTCGTTGATTACGTCATTGGTTTGGTCAAGAAAATATCACCACGAATTCGTCTCATTCAATCCTTCTATAACAAATAGGTCGTGCAACATCAAACTCTGTTGTTTGTGACCCTCCATTCAGAAGGATCAGCATTACTGAAATACGGAAACTTAGCGGATTTCCTCAGAACAGATTGCCCACCCAAAATGGAAGTGAACTCAATGTTCGGTAATAATGTGCGAGCTGACGAGCACAATATTTTTAGATCAGTTTACAGTCATTTTACGTGTGGTTAAAAGGAGCTGGAAGCAAAGTGACTTGAGGGCTATCACTAGACCAACCAGGAAATCTATATCCCTAAAACGATTGCCTCACCTGTCCACTCAACAAAGTCGAACGGAGTTTAAAATAACTCTAGCAGAATGTACGTATTGCTTTTTCAGAGATCTTGATGTAAACATATTTCGATATTTGGTTTCATATTCAGCAATGCCTTAAAAATCAAAGTACCTCCGTCCGATAATTACCAAGAGCCATATTGGTATACTGATTAGTGCATAACAAAATACAATGTCAGAAAGCTGTTGAATAAGGCTATGCAAAGTTTGAAGTTGATTTAAATCAAGTCGGAATGCTAAAAGATACGCGTGATTACTTACATGGTTGGAGAAATATTCACCTAGCTCGCGCTTAGCTGGTACTTAACCACGTCGAACTGACAACTCGGTTGCCTATAACAGTTACCCGTGTTAGAGCTGTAAGTGCATGAAAACAAGCAATCCGATTTGGACCGAATTTGAAAAAACATTCTAAACATGCTTTTAAAATAACCCTTCAAAGAATGCAATGGTGTGATCGACAGCAAACGTTTACCGAGGTTCTTGAATAAAATGGACTTGAAAAACGAGCTGCTTGTATTAGTGTCGAAATAAAGGTTGACAAACTTCAAACAAAACATTGTCAAACGTGTGTATATTTACCCGATTCTTTCCTCCGTTTTCCAGATAAACTGCACGGATTGTAGACTGTCGAATCGCCGGTGCGCCGTTCGCTGTTCTCTTTGTCCCGTTTCGGACAAGCACAGCTACGAAATTTGATGCACTGTCTACCCAAAACTTCACATTGACCCTTGATTTGATCGGTTCTTAAGAGAAGATGACGGAAGGAGATGGGTGAATACACACCATGATTAGACACAGAAGTGATGGTGAAATATGTTAGCTGTCAATCGATTAGAGTTCAGTACATGTCCGTTTGTTTTATTATGATATGCCATCATCGAACAACTTATTCAGTCCCATCAGTATTCTGAGTGTCCAGGTTAACACGCCTTGTTTTCACATCAGAGTTTAGCATAAGCAAACCGGTTGCTGACTGGAGTGTTCAATTTACCGCATGCCTGTTAGTGGGCGAGGTACTGCTAAACCAAAGTGTAACCACCATCGCTGTTTGGATAAGGAGTTCCGTTCTCATCTTTAAACTTCTGGCTACTCACCTTGCCACAATTTCCTCCACTCGTTCAGTCGTTCTACTTCAGTCCCGCTCACCAAATCAGACACATCGCTCAGCGTGATGTTTGTGAGACCACTACAGTATACTGTTTGATGAGAAGGAAGGGGGAACTGACCAGATTGATGGTCATTTGGGTTCAGAGATTAAAGAGTTTCTGAACAATGATAGAAAGGAAGCAACAAACAGTGACGGTCAATCCGTAACTGGCGTGCGTTCAGACACACACACACACACACACACTTACCCCATAGTGAGACAGATACCAGATCAGATGGGTCTCATCGAAACGAAAAATGATACGCACACACATACGGGCAAACATAACCTAGTAACTACTTGGCCATCAATACTATGTGGGTGGAATAGTGAGGTTTCTTTAAACCTATAGCTAGTAAATAGCGCTAATCAACTCTAACCATCTGAAAACACCGGTCACTCAGCCGTCACCAGCGTTGCCATACGCCAACATACAGATATGGACAAAATGGGTACAAACAGTGTACTGCCACTTACCCGGTAACCAACCGTTCCAAAGTGATAATCAAAAACAACGGTTTCTTGTTCCCCTGACCGCCGTTGTAGAGACAGCTGTTGAAACACATGAACTTGCCGTTGAACTGACTGTATTCACAACCCTCTGTGTGTGTGTGCGTCGAGCGAGTGTATGTGAATTAGGGATACATAAGGAAATGCACATAATCAAACTATCAGAAATCCAGCATATGGTTATTGGAAAAGGAGTACATGAATAAGTTACTTACATTCAAACCTTTAGCATATAAGTTCCACAAACATTTGAATAACTCATTCATCAGAAAAAATATTCAAATCCAGCGGTTAAAGTGAATGACAGATTTAATCTGGAACTGTAAATGGTTCCACATTAGCCACTTAAGTTTGAACATCTCAAAATTTTTTAGATACTATTGAAAGTTGTGCCCAATAAATGCTTCAGAGTAGTGGCGTCAGGCTACTGACGAATCCATTAGACGAATGCAGTTGCTCAGGTTATCTACCCAAAAAGGTTATAGAGTAGATTTGTCGTGCGGACAAGTTCAACAAACTGGTTGGTCATTTTTGTTAGTTTCAAGTTGTACATCACCCACAATTGATCACAGCCTTTGCATGCAGACGGATTTTCGGGCAGGCCTCTCTCTCTAACAGAAGCACTAGACTCGAGTTTCGCTCCCATTAGAGCTGGTCAGTAGTGCATATCCTTGCAATGGCTGGGGTTAGAACTCTGGCCACGTTTTCACGAGGTAATCGTATTCACCACTGCATCACTGACCTAGCATTAGGCACGACGGAATTATCATATGTGAAAGCTCAAAGTTTTGTGGCACGTCCAGTAAAAAAACTAAGATGAGTAAATACTTCGGTAGGTATTCTAGTTTTTAGATGAGACCCAACTGTGAAAAGTCAGGGCTTCGGCTGGATTCGAACCAGCGACAGAAACACCGTGCATGAACGCGTCAAGCGCTGTACCAGCTAAGCTACAAAGCCACGCCATGAGCTCGGACATTTCACATTTGGATCCGATTACCCACCTGTCCCATTGTCTCATATGGAATCCACCAAATGATCCAGAGGATCGACTGTCCCGGAAGGATTTCTCGAACAGTTCACGCTGGAATCCACCAGCGTCGAGATAAAAGGGATAAAGGTATGGAACAATTTTTATGTCGGTGTACTGTCATAAAACGTACTGAACAAGTGTTAAGTAAATGGATTACTCACACAAGGGAGTGGATATACGTAGGAGGGACGAGAAACCTCAAAATGAAGTTCTTGCCAACTTGTCGCAAATGTCCTAATTTAAAAAAGTATTTATAGAAATGAGCGCAAAGAAGACATGTAGAAGGGTTATAAACCAGGACAATAGATCCCAATCATTTACAGGCAAGCCTACAATAAGAACGGATCACCGGTACATCTATTACAGAATAATGTAGACATAAAATTCACGACCAACTTCTGAGGAGTAGACAGTGCTTACAGTTACTTTGCCTGATATGTCGCGACCGGCTCACATCGGAAGCAGTTAGAATGCCCATATGCTTTGCAAAAATACAACTGACTAACTCAACACAAGTCATATGAAGAGTCCACTCCGGATGTTCTACAATTAGGCTGCCTCCTAACTGCTCACTAATTACTCGTGTGTGGCGGGAGAGCGTAATCAACAAAGTGAACCGAAAGCCTACAATCAAAGGAAACGATATATCACGCTAATTCTCAGGATTGATGGGGAATATTGCATTATGCCGATTGTGGGTGGTTTACTATTTTTCCCGAGACAATATTGTTAGCATATTCTTATTAAAAGTAGAGTTCAGATAACGGTCTGTCATTTTACCCTAGAGGCGGATGACAGCTCCGAACACAGACTGTTCGTATGTTTGATACTGTTTGTGTACTAGCCACCACACTGTACCAGGCAAGGAGCGTTGAGATATCTAGTAAACCTGGCTACTCACGGAACTCACCTTTGGGTTTTTCGTATGGTAGAGTCACACACAGCCGTTCTGTCACGGGATCAAAAAAGTAATCGGCCAACGAGTTTCCCACAACCACGATGCTATACCGAGCCATCGAGTTGGTTGGCATCGCCATGAAATCTTCGAAACATCTGTCAATTTAAAATATATCGGTGGACATGTGATATTTAACAATACTGACCCCCTCCAAAAGTGTTTTTCGTATAATTCTCGTGGATCTTGAAGAAATATCAAGCCATACCATATATCCAGTCGAGTTCTAGTAGAAGTGCCATTCCTAGGCTCCAGTTAACTGTTGTCACTAGGTGAATTGGTGCTGCCATGTAGGCAGAAAGTAAATCTTTAAAATCTAACATGCTTCTCTCCTCAGGCTATAGCCTTAACTAATATATTACCTACGATAACAGGCGTGATATACTGAAAAAAACAGGTGCAGTGAAGATGCTATGACTCATTAAGTACAAACGAAAAATGAATCCAGTTGTGAACATATAATGTTGATTCTAACGCGTCGAACTCTTTGTCTTCTTCTATTAATTGTGTCCATTTTTGGAACCGCTGCAAATATCCGATTGATATATCAACTTCTTTCATATGCTACTTTTCATATACTGAACCAGGAAACGAAATAGTTACATATGGGGAGTATTTAAATTGTTTTCCAGCAACACTTTCCATGATAGAGTTTACGGCAACAAGTCGTGGAAATTCTGTGAAACGCTGCTCCTCTTTCCTCTAACGTTCAGAATGTATCGCCAGTCAGGTGACTACCATGTCTTCTACTGATGTCGTGGTCGTCTGAGAGCTGAAGCTGGTTCATTTTATCATCACTGTCGTTCAATTATGCTACCTATCAATACTCTGCGTCTTCTATGATCAAGCATATCACTAGGTAACCGAATGAATGACACTGAGCTATTGCATCTACAGCAACTGAATCGATTAAGTGTTCACTACTCAGCACGTAGAGCGTGAATAGGTCGGTTAGCCGACGCTCATGTTGCGTCAGTATTCAGTGACCTGCTTGTCAAGAATTGATAAATAAACACCCATTCATTTTAGCTGTGTTTTTATGCGTTAGTCTTTGCGTACTTCTGTAACACGTGTGGCCAACAAGTCACCCGGTTCAAACAGTAATGTAGATGCATCTGTTTGGGAAGAAATTTTATACCTGATGTTTGACAGCTACCCCACGTTAATGGGTCACGTAAAATAAAACGCTTTATTTGAATGAAATCATATTTTGCACGAATGATCTGCCTATTTGGAGGAGTGATTTGCATGTAATTTAACTAATCTGTATCCAGTGCAAATGGCACTGGTCAGGTGTTAGGGTTATTACCATGATCTGACCTAGAAGTTTTGATTAACCGTAGCTCGGTGAATCAGTAGTGGAGTCAATAAAAAGATGGCGTAATTACCGAGGGTTGAGTACACCTTCGTTTGCCAATGAACAGACGGCAAGCAAATACGTCATAGATGGCAAATAATGTCACTATTACGCATGCGTGGGTGGGAAAAAAGTGACTGTTAAAGAGCACCTGGAGAGAATGAACTAACCCGTAATTAAGTACACAAATGGAATCCTAAATTGTTATAGGAGGGAGGAAAATCTTTGTTTGTGCGTACCTGCCTCTGTGCTAGTCGGTGAAAAATGGTAGACGGTCTATAGGCGTAAAGAAAAAGTGAATGGAACCAGTTCAGTAATAAGCACTGAAACACACTGAAAGAACATTCAGCCAGATATGTGCAGTTGAAGGTCCGTGAAACTGAGCTAACATAGCAGTTTGGAAACTTGTAGTACAGTTTGACTCTCACGTATGCGTCGATCGAGTAGTATTTTGAAACTCACAACTGATTCAGCCATGACCACAAGGTCGAACAATTTATTCCAATGTGAACATATAACTATGAAGCAGTTCGGTTTACAGAGTAACCTGTCTGTTCCATTATTCAGTTTCAGTCAGTTTCACCTCCTAACCGTTCATCCTTATTTAGTGGGAGGAGATGTGTCAATGGACGACGTGGAATGTGAAGTGTTTTGTACGTATGAATTAAGGCTCTCCTGAGGTGTCTGCAATTCATTGAGAACTGACCTAATTGAGCCAGTCCTTCTGAGTTGGAGGTATTCCTGAACACCCCGCAAGTCTTTCAGTGATTTATCTGTGAACACTTTCAATAAGTTCAAACTCTTACTTAAGATAAGGACGATAGGCCTGTATTTTCGTTTCCAGGTGTGACTGGATCATGGAAGTGAACACGGTGGGAAACACTTCAGGATGACAAGTTCCACGGATTCTTTCTAAAAGGTCTCACTGTGCTAATCGGTACAAAATGAATGAACAAGATACATTTGCACGCTCAAATGATGAGGAACAAGACAGACTTGTCGATACCTGACGAATTATTACGGAAGAGAGGAGAAAGAAAGTTGATATATATGGACCAAAGGCCCATCCATTTTCTGAACAAAACAGCCAGTCAGTCAGTCTCATCGTCAAACATATTCCAGCAAGTAGATAAGACAGATGTCCGCATGCCTTGACATTTGGACAACGAACATATCACCGCTTATCAAAGTGACATCACCAGCACGTACGGGGTTAAGTCTGTAAATAACCCCTACCTGTAATTGTGTACTCAAACTTTTTGACAAATATAACATCATCTCGATTGCTGAGGAAGCGTCGATAGTCTAAATATCAAACTTGGAGGACAGTTGGATCATCAAATCGAAACACTACATTCACTAATATTCGCAATATTCGCAGACAAAATATCATTTTGAACATGTGGTGTCAAGCTTCAGTAAACAGAAAAATTGTCAGGAAACGACCGTTCCAGAAACCCATGATTTGTTCCAGTATAGTTCCGCATCCCTTCATATCGGTTATGCACCAGGATCAGTGCACTCTCTTTTGAGAAAGCACACCCATCTGTTGACAAGTGGCTAGTCTAACAGGATTCGAAAGGGTACTAGGAATATCTAAGGATACTTACAACGAACGACGAGGTCATAGCAGAGCTCGCTCTCCCTCTCGTTTCTCAGCTTACGCTCAGCTGGTGTACATACACGTGGATGCATGGATTCATATGCAGTCCATGAAAACACGGGAGTGATACGCCGTTTATTACCGTATAAAACGCGGCTATTACACAATCTTCTACGAAGTCGTTGAGCAACGCGAAACGATAAATCAGCGGTCCCAACTAATCAAAACTAGATTGGATTACAATGCCATGGTAGTAATGAACAAACTATCAAAGTTAATAATTAGACAACAACAACAGTTTCAATGGTTCCCGGGGAATGAGCTGCAACTTGGTGCCGAATAGGCTAAAGATGAACCGTAATCACGACATGACTGTCACACCCGACAGCACTCCTCCAAGCAGTCAACAGGTTCAAAAACAATGGGAACGAGCCGAGTTCCAAAAAGAATGATGCAACCACCACTCAGACAAAATATAATAACCGGCACGTGGCTATTCGCACAACTATGGGATTGACAAGATAAAACGAAAAGATCTCAGCCAAGGTCCAATTTACGGTTTGAAACATGTGGGGAGAAGGTAGAATATACTAAAGTAAACACTTGGGATGGATAGGGTCGGGTCGAATTTTCACACGATTAAACTTGATAAGTCGATACAATTATTGCTTCTCAACAGTGATTAGACCTTAATTATCATATACCTGAAAATACTGACAGATTACATGCATTTAAAATCAATCTTTGGCTCAGACGCTTAGCTATTAGTACAACTACGCACACACACTTACTCCAAGTCATAAAGTTGGCAACACCTTACTAATTTGTGCGCTAATATTAGGCTGAAAAGTAATCAGCTGTCAGTGATGACAGAGTAGATGAAACTATTTCAGATTACGTATAGCCTACCAGATATGCCTCGTAGTAACAGTATGGGCTGCGCATCATCAATCGCTCTGTTGTAATCTACCGTGGTATTCTTTGGGAATGTTGAAGTTCTGGGCTGTTTTCT